CAGCTCATTGTGTTAACAATTCTACAGAATTACGGGTTCTTGTTGGTGAGTTGTTGTCATTTTGACCCTTACTATAAAAATAAGTGTACCACAATCTGTCTTTTAGTGTCTATGTGCAAGACACTGAACTATCCCCAGATATATCTCACTGCTTCATTTTGTCTATTGGCTAGCAATGAGTTACATGTTCAGCCTGGTTGAATGGACAGGTTCTTTAAGCCTTGCTTGGCCCAGCATAGCTTGTCTGTAATAGGAACTGAGAAAATATGTGGGCAAGTGATGCTGAGCTGATTTCAAAGAATCACAGAATTGCAGGGGTTGGAAGGGACTTCTAGAGACCATTGAGCCCCAACCCCCTGCTAAAGCAGGTTCCCTATATAGGCCACATAGGTAAGCATCCAGATGGATCTTAAATATCTCCAGAGGAGACTCCACAACCTCTCTGGGCAGCTTGTTCCAGTGTTCTGTCACTCTCACTTTAAAGAAGTTCTTCCATGTTTAATTTTAGATTTAGTTAATTGGTCTACAGTTACACCTTCATGCAATTCCCTGTGCTGGCCAAACCTTGAAGACTTCCATATGCCACATGCAGATGCTAACAAATGTTTTGACAGCATGTCTGAGACTGTTGGGTGCTGGAAACCTTACCTTCATTATTTATTATGGTAATTTATGAAGGGGGAAAAAGAAAGATATCTTGTCACAAGTTCTAGGCACTGAAAACAGTATTCTGATTCACAAAATTTCCACTTGTCCTACAGTAGTAATTCAAAACCTGTATAAGCATTAATGGCCGTCAATTTAATTCCTAAAATGTTTTCATACAAGTTGAGAAGAGTAAATATGAACAAGTTCTTATATTTTTTGAGCAGAATGTTAAAGACAGTGAATGTTTCCAGTTTAAGTCTGTTTGACTGTGTTGCTCTACAAAGAACAGGGGCAAGGTCCTACTCTTCAATGCTGGGGTTTCGTTTGTATATGAGGAGTAGCACTGTAGTAGCCAGAACTTTACATGAACGTTGTCACTGAGACTGTCATTCCAATAGCAGAGTTTTGACTTTAAATGCACTTGGTATCAAAATTGATATAAAACGCTACAGCATCAAGATACAGACCAGCTCTATTTTGTTTGTACAGTACAAATGTCTATTCCAAGTACAAGAAATTTTAGTCCCATCTTTTACTGAGGTGCTGTTTGGGTTTGCTGGTATAATCTTGTTAACAACTGTTTTAATAATCTGACACAGGGATGGTGGACAGAGAAAAGGAAGAACCAAGTACTGCATTGCACACAGTGGAAAAAATAATTTCAAATCCTGAGTTTAATTTTGAAACCCATGACAGTGACATAGCCCTCATCAAATTAAAAGAACCTATCACATTTTCTGAGGATGTTGTCCCAGCGTGCCTTCCAGAAGAAGACTTTGCTAATGATGTTCTGATGAACCAAACATTTGGAATTGTCAGTGGTTTTGGGAACTCATATGAACAAACACGGCCAGTCAGAAGAATGAAAGTTCTTCAGATCCCTTATGTGGATAAGAAAACTTGCAAGCAAGCTATTCGTTATTTAGTCACAAGAAACATGTTCTGTGCAGGTTATAATAAAGATGGACAAGATGTCTGCCAAGGAGATGGAGGAGGCCCACATGTAACCGAATACAATGGCACTTATTTTGTTACTGGTATCATCAGCTGGGGAGAAGGGTGTGGGAGGCAAGGAAAATATGGAATATACACTAAAGTATCAAATTTCCTGCCATGGATAAGAAGTGTTTTGACACAAAACTCTTAATGGCTTGGTGTTTAATCAACCCAACTGTCTTAGCCATCAATCTCATCCCCAAATAATATTTTCCTCTTTGTAAAATGTTTGCTGTAATCCTGATAACATTTCTGTCAAGATGCCAGCTGTTTCTTCATGAGCTCATGCCTGGTTTTCAAAAGGTGTATTTGGACTTGCTGGTTTGGGACAGTAATGGCACATCTTCAAATACAATGAAGGAGTTCTTTTTGCTTATGGTGTGATTGATTGAACTTGTCTAGGAGGCTTTGGCTGTTTGGCTGCCCATCCTCCTCCCATTCAAAGGCTACAACTAACTCAACTTTCCTGTTGCAGTACTTGCTTTATAGAAATAAACCTAGACCAGAATAATATCAAAGTAGGACAGTATTTCTAAAGACTCTGGAAAAACTGCTTAAAATCTGGAAAAAAAGTGGAAACCAACTGTGTATCCACATTTGAGTTTAAGGAACTGGGCATGTCACTGACACCAGTGCCTTATTATATTAACTGATTTGGCAAAGCTTGCTTATAATTACCAACATCACTGGTGTTCTGATAATCTCCTGCTGTCCCTCTGAGATACTTCTTTCACCATAATTATTAATGTCATGATTTTGTCTGCAATAAAGTGAACGTATTACATATTCCACAAATGACAATATTGTTGTAAGTCATCATTTATATAAGGTGTTATTTAAATTATTAACAACCAAAGAGATTTTAAATCTCATAGGGTAAATTTTCTTCCAAGAATAGGAAAAGTACTGACACTCAAAAAGAGTGTCAGTACATGAGAACAAATGCTGTCTGCAGAGGCGTTTCACTCAACTGCTTAATTGCACAGAAAACTGCAGTTCTCAAGAGACGCACCAAAGACATACATCACAATACTGGTGCTCTGCCTCTGTCAATCTTCTATGACTTCAGAGAAAGGATGGCGTTGTAACTCATGCTATTCTGGAAGATTTACTTTGATTCTTCCATAAACACCTACAAATGCCACAGATCTTTTGTTGCAGAGGGATATTTTCTTTTGCTGTCACAAATACTGAAGTCAACTTCTAAATGTAATCCAGGAGCACAAGCTCACAGAGTCTGTGTCTCCCGTGGCTTGGGAGTCAGGTATACAGTAGGAACCACTTCCACCTCCTGGCCCCATCTGGCTAAGATGTAGCTGACAGTTCCGTGGTGGTGGCTTTGCACTGATCTCAGGGCAGGGCTGCCTTTCTGCTGAGTCTGCAGCAAAGGAACCGACCGGATGGCCACGGGGACACCATAAATCACAGTATCTGGACTGAGCTGCAGTGTTGCTCATTTGCCACCTGAGGAAGAGAAACAGGTGGAAAAAGAGGAGCAGAAATGGTACAGGGAGGCTTTAGGAGCCGAGTTCTAGGCAAGAACACTGAGCCTAGTAAGGGGCTCTGAAGAGCCCTGTGATATCTTTAGAAACAGAAATAGAAAATGTCAGCACTTGGCTGCAGATATGTCAGAGTAGCTCCAGGATGTTTTCTGTTTTCACAGCCAGACTGTCAGAAGGCTTGCACAACCTCAAGGAAAGCCCCTGGGAGTGCAGAACCCCTTAGGGAGAATCAAATCTCCTGTGGTTTCATTCCTCCCTCAGGATGTCCTGCAATCTGCAACCAAACAGAAGGGCAGTGCTGATGTTCCTTCAATACAAGTGCAAATCCCTCCAGCTTTTAAGAATGGTGATGCCCTTCAGATACAGCAAGAAAAGCTTTTTCTTTTCCTGCAGATGGCAAACAGCACTGCTTGGCTGATGTCCAGACATTTAACCGAATTATAACTCATTTTAACTGCACTAAGCATTAATCCTTTGCAGAGTACGTGCTTCCTGTTGGCCAGTTCTTCCTCGTTCCCTGTCCCCCAGCTCCCCAGGGAGGGGGAGGCTGGAGCAGCTCCTGCCATGGGCAGCACACATCACTCCTTAGCCTTGAACCATTTCCAGTGTCCACAAACCAACTACAGTGCTCTCATGCTACTCAGCATCAGGACTTCCCAGGTACAAATGTGGCTGTGAGCCCAGCCATCAGCTTTCTCTATTTGCTTAGTGCAAGGGTAATGTTTTCTGGAATATCATTGCTGTCCCCTTTCCATAGCTGAGTGTGCATTTCCCGAAAGTGTGTGATAGTGACAGTTAGTCAGCTGACAGCCAGCCAGGCCTGCAGCAAACAGGGCTGCTGGACATGCTGATAAACTCTGCATCCGTCTTCTTGCCACGATGTTAAGGAAATGGAAAAAGAAATTCCAGTTGCTCTTCCTAAAGCATCAAACAAGAAAAGGATTGCCTTTCTAAGCCCCTCCCTTTGTGCTATGTTCCTTAATAGTTTGTAATAACTGTTGCAATAATGTCAATACAGAAAAGGCAAAGTGGGTGCTGTACATGGATTGAGTACACTGTGGCCTGTACAGATGTTGAAGGCATGTTTTGTTTAAAAAGAAAACATGAACTTGTGAACTAAGCCCTACGGAGAATACAACTTCTGAAGTTGTGTGTTGCTATTATTAACCTAATTTGAATAAATATCTGATAGCAACAGGAGTCCTTTAATTGGCATAGGCTTGCAAAGTGTGAGAAGCTTGTATAAAAAGTAGTTAATGCTTGCAGATGTACATATGTGTGCTGCAAAGCCCTGTACTGACATCAAGTGGTGACATGTAAGCGTGCTGAGATGAGACAGCCTGGCTCTGAAGAAAACCTGATTTTTAAAACTCCAGTTGATGTGAAGTTTTATTTGAGGGTTTACTCACATATTCTCAAATTGGTGTGTTCTTTATGTTTCTAAGATTAAAGAGTACTTTCCCCTCCAGGCTGCCCCAAACCTGCAGAGTGAAGCACATCCTCTCATTCCGTGCCCCACCACAATAAAGGTTGCGTGGAGTGGGTGAGCAGAGCAGCCATGCTGCACTACTGATCCTGGAGTCATCACCAAGCTTGTGCCTGTGCTTTGCTATGGCACAAAGAAATACTCATGCTGTCCACCTCTCGCTATTTTGTGTTACAGATGTGAAGGCTGGGGGAAGGAATATCCAAAAGTTGGAGGTTTCCAAGCATGCTTCGCCTTCAGCCCTTGCAATGAGAGAAGGGGAATTGTTCAACCACCAAATAGGTTTTTTCAAGGTTTCCACATGTTGACTTTGAGGCCGGGCTTTGCCCTCAGAGGTTTTGTTTTCTCTTGAGCAGCTGGACTTTAAACTTTAACATCTCCTGTTGAGCCATTTCCCCAAAGAGCTGCAGGAATGCAGGCAAGCCACCATTGATCGCAGAGAGTAGCAATGGCAAGATGCTTTTGGACAATGTTGTTTCTTCTCTCTGCCCTTTTCCTTCAGACAGAGCAGACAGGTATGGCCTTTGTTTTGTTGTGGCTTTCATTCTCCTTTGTGCTCCTGCTCTTGTAAACATACCGGTGTTTATGTACCTCCTGTCATGTTTGCCTTGTAGCACAGGCTGACATCACTAACAGCTATCCGTGTTTCAGTACATTTTTGCTGGTTTTTTTCATATACCTAAGTAAAAATGACAGTAGGTTACTGAGGCATCGTAATCTGGTAATACCGTCGCTGACATAGTAAGAAGAATTTTGTTTTTCTGGTTGCTGATGTAATAAAAATAAAAGAAGTATATGTTTTTTGCATTCATCCTCTATGGTTTGTCCAAATGTGCAGCGGGGGTCTAGAGAACTGTTAGAAATTCAAAGCATGAACACGAAGCTTTGTCTTACTTAATATCGCATGCGAGCCTGCTGCATGCTTGCAAGCCTTCACAAGCATAACTAACGAACTCCAGAATATTTTTTGTATTGCTTTTAATATTCTTCAATTCTAATATCATTTATAATCTCAACCTTTGAGTCCCCAAAGTATAAAATGCAGAACAACCAAGCAAACAAACAAAACCAGTCCCTGCTCCATTGGATTTACCTTCTGAGTAGAGGAGAACTGACAAACACGCGCTGCCACACGTGGCCATGTCCCAGTTAATGTCAAAGGTGAAAGTGCTGCCCCAGCCCTCCCCCTGCTAGGCAAGTTCTGGTGTGGACATCATTGCAAACAGGAGTTTCAAGGTTTGATCTCTCTCATGTCTTCAGCTGTCTGCCTTTCAGAAATTATTTTTCCAATTTTTACTGAGACCAAAGAGCCATGAAACCCATGGCAGAGCAAAGCCTAGCCACAAAACACATCACCCAACCATGGGTCTTTAAGATCCAGGGGCTTGCAGTTGTACCAAACACCACCTGCCTGGGAATAAGCAAGGCACCCTCAGAAGAGATGCTACATCCCTGTGACTCCACAGCCTGGTTTGGGCTGAAGAAGTAGACCTTTTTTGGAGTTTACTGTGGCTGAAACTCTGAATCATCCAAAGGATTTCTCTTCACAATAAAAATTGGCAGCTTAATAAGATCTTAAAAAAAAAATTAAAGTGAAATCATAAAGGATAGCCTGAGTACTAATATCAACAACATCATTTCAGTGTTTATATCAACTGATGATGCAAACAAAGTTATCAAGAGGCATCGACGTGCCAACTCCCTGCATTTTGAGGAGGTCTTGCAAGGCAGTTTGGAAAGGGAATGCCTTGAAGAGAGGTGCACGCATGAGGAAGCAAGAGAAGTATTTGAAAATGATGAAATGCTCGTAAGTATTTTGTTATACCTTGTGCATGTGGAGAAATGTTTTCTTGGTGACTTTGGTTTGATTTGTTATTGCTATTTTATTTACTACAAGTTTCTGCAATTTGCTTCCACCGTTCGGATTTTTCTCTGTGTAAAACGATCTTCTACATTTTTAAAATCCCCTCCTGAAATTGATGTGTCCTGCATCTTGTGTTGGGAAAGCACACAGGTGTTATCCCATCCTGACCACACACACACAAATACAGTCTCAACATCCCTTGGGGACTGGGAGGAGCAATGGGGTGCTGGGATGGAGGGAAGAACCCATAGCAGTAGTAAGACTTACAGAAGGAGGATTTTGGGGTCAGTGGCCACAAGTGCCACTGTACAAGAGGTCCTCTGCAATGTGCAGCTGGATGCTCTGCTCTCTAACACAGGAATCTGTGCAGAGATGGTTTATACAAGGAAGAAGAAAAAACAACCGCAGGACTGGTGATCCAAGTGCCTCAGGGCAAGATCAGGAGCAGCAGGCTATAGAAGAGCATTGGCTGCTCCCTCTGGGAAGGAAGGGACAGTATAATCTCTCATGTAGTGCTTCTGTTTTACAAAGTACCCATGGAAAGTAATGTTATTTGAGAACTGAAGTCCAACTTTCCCCTTTTTTTTTTTTTTTCCAGAAAATGTTTTGGGATAACTACTACGGTAAGCTTGTCTCTTGATTTCTCTCCTCACAGTGGTGTCATGCTCTGAACATTATGCTTCAGTCTTATCAGTCTTATGCTGTTTTTGAGTTTTCAGCAGTTTATTCAAAAAGAAACACTCAGTTGCTACTTTTTCATGTCTCTAGTAAAGCAAGAGGAAAAGTGCTGATGTGAAAGGATTTAAAAAGTCCTAGATAGGAAGAAATAGCTAAAACTGCAGAGTGTGTGTAAACTGAAGGGGAGCAGATGCTATGATAGGAAGCAGGCTCTTTCTCTCCCTGGCTGTCACCTGGGAGCAGGACATTTTGCTGTTTGTGGCTACGTCTGTCTGTGGCTGCCATTTCCACAGCATGGACTTGTGGGGCCAGAATAGGCTGTGGTGGCAGCTGTGGTCCAGGGTGGTGTTAAAAGAGAGCAACCAGGGTATGGAAGGGAAAACAGGTGTATTTTCCACAGTATGCTGAGCATTAGAGTGTTTAAGAGACGACTGGAAAGAAATGAGCCTGCAAAGCTGACATGAGGTGATGCAGCCAGGCACCCCCTGAGCGCAGAGCCCGGGGCAGCAACATGTGGCAAGTAGACTTCACACCTCCCTCACCACTGCATGTCCAAAAAGTTCTCTCACTTATTTTTAATTAGTTTTTATTCTTTTGTAATCAGAGGTTTAGATAGTGGATAGGGAGGCGGTATTAATTTCCTGTGAGGGCGGGACTGCTTGTCCTTGACTCTAACAGGGTGCTGTTCAGGACTGTCCGTACAGGAAGCGTCTGCCTACAGCTGAGCTCTCAGGGGTGGGAGTGTTTCACCACCTCCCTCTACATCTGGCCGTCCTTCCCCAGGTGGCTGGAGGTGTTCCTCCAGCCCATGCCAGCACGGTGGCCTGTGTGAGGACACCATCCGTGGCTACACCTGCACCTGCACCGCGGGCTTCGAGGGGGAGGACTGCGCCTTCGGTGAGGCACTGCTGCCAGGACACAGGCTTGGACCCACCACAGCATGCACTATTTCCTGATGCTCCTCCAGCTGAGATGTTCAGCCTATGTATCCTTACCTATGCTAAGCCACAGTTCGCAATGCTACCCCACTGCATGCCTAATGGTTATCAGATACTACTGCACCAGACCAGATCTTCATGTTTACTCCACCAGGTTTTGGTTCTCAGCCCTGAGGTCAGTATTTCTGCCCAGCAGGGCCCTTCTCTGCAGCCCCCTGGGGAGCAGTACCTGCTCCACAGGAGCCACCAAGAACCACGCTGAGTACAGATTTCCTTGCTGCTTCCCTGCCTGTGGGCTAGATTCAGCACCAAAACCTCTTCCTGTTGCTTTGCACTGAAGGTTAAGTGTTTGCTCATCTGTAAAAAGCTGGCTGCCCATGTCTCAAGGATGATTAATTCTCCTTTCCTTTATTTTTTCCTGCTGGTTTTGATTTTTATTAATTAGTTTTAACTTTCTTAGTGCAAACATGAAAAATAAGAACTATAAATTTGCTTAAGCTGCAAAACAGCAAGCTGTAGCCTTTTTTTTCCTCACACAACACCTGCCTTCTAAAAAAGTGCAGAAAGCCACTCTGGCGCAGCTTCTTAGTGTTTTCCTTAAATGAGCAGAGAAACCTACAGCATCCTTTCACAGGTTCATGTACAAAGCTTAACTTTTGGTTACTAAGGCTTTTTCTCTGTCTGCTCCATTCAGCTAAAAATGAATGCCGGCACCAAGGAAAAGAAGGATGTCAGCACTTCTGCTACCCAGGAAGTAATTCCTACCATTGCTCCTGTGCTGAAGGCTATGAGCTTGGGAAGGACAAAAAACAATGCATCCCATTAGGTAAGTGTGAGCATGGAAGTTAGTGAGGATCCATGCTTGGTGCTTGGATGGACAGAAGCATTACTGACCTCTCAAACTGGGGAGAAAAAAAGGAGGAATCTAAGGACCACCAAAGATGCACAAGCAGCAGTAAAAGAAGCAATACTTGATCTGAACATTTAAACATGAGTGTGCAGAGAGCATTTGCATCACTCTACATATTACCCAATTATGAGAGGTTTTCCACTCTTTCTCACACTAATTTAACCTCAGTAAAAGGTAACTGATGACCTGCCTGTTTGGGAATGAGGTTCAGTTGATTTGGATCGGGCATGTGATGGCATGATAAATGAAGGGCAGAAGTTGCTGCCATGTTGGTTTGAACAGGTAGCTCTCTTCATTGTTGCATTCAGTCTAAGTACCTCATTCAACCTCATCCCCCCTGTATGCAAGGTCTACTAAAAACAAAGTAGTATGCTTAGTCCCTGTCTATATTAGCAAGTAGGACAGACAAATACGATCTGTGTATGTGGCTTTTGATGAAGATTTAATGTTCACACCAAGTGCTCAACTCAGATGGGTTTTATTTCAGACTATCCCTAGGGCTAAACATCATTAACTGTAAGAGCACATGGTTACAGGGGCTTACTTCTGATTCAGCTTCACCTGAACAGAATCCAGTTTATGTGAACCAAGATGAGGACACAAGGTGGCAGAAAGTGTGTGCACATTAACTCAGAGATTCACTTGAAATGCAGGTTCCTCCTCTGAACCAGAACACAAAAGTATGCACATCCCCCTTATAGTCTTCCAAAAGGAAGGCCAAGAATTATCCTGCCGAGATGAGGCCACAGTTGTGAGGTGTCTGGTACAGTTCAGATACAGGATATGAGGATGAGGAAGAAACCTGTGATGACAGTTGTCTGGAGTGGAAGCTTTATTCTTTGGAAACTGTGTTCCTAAGTCACGGGCAGTGAAATCTGGCCACCACAAGCCTAACACAGTGACCAAATTGTTAATTGTCATTTCTAAGCTATCAGACAACAGAAGTTAAGTTAATTATTCTGATTTTCACCAGTTGAGAAATTCTCCTTTTCCCAAACCCTACATTTTGTGAGGAATGAATAACATAACTTGCAGGTAGTTTTTGTCTTGAAATGTTGAAGCATGAGGTTTTTGCTTTTGTCTGTTTGTTTGTTTGCTAGATCAATGTGCATGTGGCAGACTTCAAGACAGTGATAATCTGATACGCGAAACCCCAAAGGAACATGGCAAGCAATTTCCTTGGCAGGTATTTCTAGCAGTTCATGAAACTCATGAAACTCATTACTCAACTTCCTGTGGACAGTGCCATTTAATAATCTTCTTTCTGTGTTGTCTTAGGTCCTGTTGCTAAACTCAGAAGGGAAAGGTTTCTGTGGAGGAGTGCTGCTAAAAAGTAACTTTGTACTGACCACAGCAGAGTGCGCCCTTCTGCACAACCATTTTAAAATCAGAGTTGGCACTGGTAGGTGATTAAATATTTTCTTTTGCGCTTTTCAGCATGGATAAGCTTCTTTTAAAAACAACTTACTAAAATTTCTGCTGTTTACTGAAATTTCCCAAAAACATTTGCTTTGGGACGCAAATGCGCTGCCGCCTCATTTAAGCAGCTTAGTTAAGTATCAAGTTAGAACTACCACTGTGATACGTCTCTCTACAAGCCAAGAAGAGAGACAAGTACCTCTCAAGGGCAGCTCACAGGGGCTGCCTCAGTACCTGGGATAAGCTAAACCAGGTTCATTTAGAGTTCATTTGCTCTGCACCCCCAAGGAAAGAAACTATTCATGCCCAAATTCAGTTCTGTTGTTGGGTATTTGTCCTTCCTCTCAATTATGCATGCATCTACACAAGATTGAAAGGCTGCCAAACTGTCATTCTTAATTCACCTTTAACATATCTGTTTCAAGAAAGAGCATCTTTCTCTAGCATACATACTCCTCAGCACATCTAGGCAGTTGTTACCAATGCGCATGCAGTTATCAAGTCTGGTAATTTAAATAATTTAAGTAATTTTAATAAATGCCAGTCTCTGGTAATTGATTTCAGCAAGTCATTTGATACTGTCTCCTACGACATCCTTATAACAAAGCTGAGGAGGTGTGGGATAGATGAGTGGACAGTGAGGTGGGTTGAGAACTGGCTGACTGGCAGAGCACAGAGAGTTGTCATTGATGGTGCAGAGTCCAGTTGGAGACCTGTAACCAGTGGTGTTCCTCAGGGGTCTGTGCTGGGTCCGGTCTTGTTCGATGTCTTCATCAATGACCTTGATGAGGGGATAGTGGCCACCCTCAGCAAGTTTGCTGATGATACGAAGTTGGGAGGATTGGCTGACACGCCTGAAGGCTGTGCTGCCATTCAGTGAGACTTGGACAGGCTGGAGAGCTGGGCAGTAAGAAACCAGATGAGGTTCAGCAAAAGCAAGTGTAGAGTCTTGCATCTAGGGAGGAATAATTGCATGCACTGAATAATCACATGCACTGGCTGGGGGATGACCTGCTGGAGAGGAGCTCTGCAGAGATGGACCTGGGTGTCCTGGTGGATGACAGGTTGGCCATGAGCCAGCAGTGTGCCCTTGTGGCCAAGAAGGCCAATGGCATTCTGGGATGCATTAAAAAGAGCATGACCAGCAGGTCAAGGGAGGTGATCCTCCCCCTCTACTCTGCCCTGGTAAGGCCTCATCTGGAGTACTGCGTCCAATTCTGGGCTTCCCAGTACAAAAAAGACAGGGATTTCTTGGAAAGAGTCCAGTGGAGGGCTACAAAGATGGTGAGGCCTGGAGTATCTCTCCTATGAAGAAAGGCTGGGTCTGTTTAGCTTTGAGAAAAGACTGAAAGGGAACTTAATCCTGGTCTATAAATACCTAAGGTGTGGGGGGCAGGGTGGTGAGGCCAGACTCTTTTCAGCAGTGTGTGGAGACAGGACAAGGGGAAATGGCCAGAAACTGCAGCACAGGAAGTTACACACAAATGTGCGTAAGAACCTCTTTACAGTGAGGTGACGGAGCACTGGAACAGGCTGCCCAGGGAGGTGGTGGAGTCTCCTTCTCTGGAGATGTTCCAGACCTGCCTGGATGCCTTCCTGTGCGACCTGCTGTAGGGAATCTGCTTTGGCAGGGGGGTTGGACTCGATGATCTCTGGAGGTCCCTTCCAACCCCTACAATTCTGTGATTCTGTGATTCCTAAGAGCAGTCAACATGTCATTGCTTCACAGGGTGTAACAGAACAAGCGGAGCCGAGAAGATCATGGAAGTTCATGAGAAACACATTCACATCCGGTATGACGAAGACACTGGTGAGAATGACGTTGCACTGCTGCAACTCCAAGAGCACATTGAGTGTGGTAACCACCAGCTTCCTGTATGCATCCCTGAAAGAGACTTTGCAGAACACATTTTGATTCCAAAATTGGCTGGTACAGTCACTGGTTGGAAAATGGAAGGTGGTGAATTTCAAGGCGACGAGTTGCAGGTTTCATATCTTCCCACCGAGGATTGTGAACAAATACTCAACGTAAGCCTCACAAACAGGCAGTTTTGTGGACACAGCCAGGAGGCCATAGAGAAACAGCTGGCTGGAGGGAGCTTTATGGCCACTGTGTATAAGGGCACATGGTTCCTGACTGGTATTCTGGGACCTTGGCCACTAGAAGATGCTGACAGGAAAACATTTTTATTTACCAACACAGCTAGGTACATGATATGGTTTAAACAAAAAATGAAGTAAGACGCAAACACAACCAATCCTCCACTACCAAACCCCTACCAATCACTGCAAGGAAACATGCGGAAGCAGCCAGTAGAGCCATCTGATTATCACCATTTGCAGCAGTGGAAGTTGCAATGATGATACCTATTTTACTCCAATTCATACAGAAAAGCCCATTTGTCTTTCCTTCCTCTGGTAACACGCAGTACTGTAAAAGCCATGATGCAGAAAACCTAGCTGCTTTACTAATAAACAGACTGAACTTTAAGTTTACTAAACTGTTTGCTCTAAAATTCAAAAAGTATTGATGCTTTTCTATCAATGCCTTTTATGAGGTCTTTTAAATGTTGCTAAAATAAGTCTTTACAATGCTTGTTATCCTCAAGTCTGGTTCAAGAAACCCACGCTCTTATTTCACTCATTTGTACAACTTATAAAGACAAGGGACACTCCAAGCATTTAAATGTGTATGTTGATAAAGGATGATTCTCTCGTTACGCTGAAAATTCTTCTTGGTAGCTGTGTTTTGCTGTAGGAATTATGTCTACTTCACGTCTACTTCAGTTAGTGAGTAAAATAAAATCAGACTGTCAAAGAGGGGGGAAAAATGTTTTATTTTCTTTTTAAAAACAAACAAACAAACAAACAAACAAACCAAAACCCCAGAACTATTGCCTCATAACCACAGGTAACTGTACCCCTCCTCCTTCCTACTTTCGAAAAAATAGAACAGAACAAACACACAATAGAAGGAACACTTAAAATATTGGACCCAGTGGCAATCTCTTCCCCGGAAGCAGAATAAAACAGAATATGGGTAAGTTACTTAGATGCATTCTTTTGTTCATCACAATAAATTTTAAACAAAACATTAAAGGAATTTGAAACAAAACAAAACAAACCTATCCCTGAGTACTTACAGGCAAACTTCCCACATGTACTTTAACTTGTATGTATCGATGACATAGAAAAGCTTTTAGTGTCAAGAGCAACTTCTCTGCTTCTTATAGAAGGCTTGAAGAGCATACTCAAGGCCAGCAAAATTATTGAAGAGATTTAGAAAATGGGTATCATAAAAGAAAATATTACTTCCACTCTGAATAATGGATTACCACATGTAATTCATTTATTTTCCAAAGGATAAAAGTAGAAATAGTAACATGAAGTACTTCATAAAAGCTTTTAAGTACTCTGGAAGATCTTTGGAATGCTTTGCTTTTATTTCCTCAGGAGATACTCTTAATGATCTAGGAAACCTTCAGAAACCACTACTGAAAAGTAGTTGATGCATTTTGTTACACCGACAGCCTTGGTCATTCTGGGAAAGGAGCCACACACAGTTCCTGGTATTCCAGCCTTGGATATGAACCAGGTATTTATAATGTTCTCTGGCTGATGAGGAGCAGCTCCACTGGGCAAGTTGCATGTCTGTTCTTGCATGGGTAAGACACAATACTCAACACACTGTTGACAGAGGAGGAAATGGGTTCTGCTTACTGACCACAAGTTTTTGATGCTGATGAGATATATAGCCTTTAATATGACCCTGTCAGGAGAAGAAAATACAGTGTTAGCACTGGAAGCTGGTGATACCTCAGCTGTTGCTAGACTAAATGTGTACACACTCAATCACCACCGCACTAAGCATTTGTAAGGACCCAATTTATGTAAGTGGGTCACATCAAACAGCAAGCAGAAAGTTGGTACCATATCCAGGCTTGTGTACTACTAATGCTGCTCTTGGATTGCCTGCTGCCACGGACCCCTACTGGTTTGTCTTGAAGAGATAAGACCTCTGGAGAAGTTTCTAAATTTACTCTTGCTCATTTTAAAATTGGGATTTTAATTAATCACTATTTTAAATTAAAAAAAAAAAAAATTCTCCCTTTTTAGACATGTAGAAGTCTGCCAGTCACCTGATCCCACCCTCCACTACTCTAAGCAGGTACCAAATAATCTGATTCAGAATCAAAGAATCATAGAATGGTTTTGGTTGGAAAGGGCCTCAAAGATCACCTAGTTCCAGCCCCCTGCTGTGAGCAGGGTTTCCAACCACTAAATCAGGCACTAGACCAGGCTGCCCCAGGACCCCATTCAACCCAGCCTTGAACACCTCTAGGGATGGGGCTGCCACAGCTTCTCTGGGCAGCCTGCTGCAGCACCCCACCACCCTTTCAGTGAAAAATTTCCCTATGACATATAATCTAAATCTCTTCTCTTCTAATTTAAAAGCAGTGTCCCTTGTTCTATCACTACCAGACTGTGCACAACGTTGATTTGCCTCCACTTATTAGCTCCCTTCAAGTACTGGAAAGCTGTTATCAGATCTCTCCTGAGCCTTTTCTTCTCCAGGAGAAGTAGTTCATTTTCTTGCTGGCACTACAATGCTGCTCCAAAACTTCTGATTTATTAGGAAACTACTGATTTCAAGCCTGTACCTTGTTCATAAGTACTGAAGACCCATTTAGAGTAAAAGACAAAACAAGAAACAAGGAAATGTAGTTCTTGTGATGTTGGAATGTCAACAGTCTCCTACTTCAAATGCAGAAAAACAAATCCCTTCCTGGTACTGGATGTAATTTTTGTACTTTGAAACAAATATTTATACATTATTTAGAAAAGTCAGTACTGAAAATGTAATGTATACTTAACTGCAATTTTAACTGATTCCTGCAAAAGTAGGAAGTAGAGAAATTTCCCAGGGCAAATGAAAACATCTGCACTTCAGGCACAAATGAATCAACTTTCGCACACAAGAAAAGATGGGATTACTGATATATTTCTGTAACAAACTTATAATCTCTGCCTAATGCTTTTTACTCAGTCTGGAAGGACTCAAAAAGAAGCAGGAAGCACATACCATATATATAAGATTAGCTAAAATGCACTGGACTTCATCAATGTCAACATCATCTACTTGCATGAATTTCAGAGCAAAAAGAAAGGCATCTAGGGATAACTGATGTGTTTTGAGTAGTAAATATCTGCAAGAAACAACAGAAAATCTGTTATTGAGAAACAATCACTTAGAACTCTTGTTCATAGTAAAACAGACATTCTACTACAGATTCACTTTAATAGGAATTCTGCATTCCTTGAGAGAGTTGAAGACCATTACACCTCTATCTCAGTCCTAGGTGAAACCACATTAAGTCTGCTTATAGAAAAATGTAGCTTTTGTTATGCTTACACTTTCTTAAAGAGATTTCTGTATGTGATGATTTTCAGCTTCTCGAGGATAAGAAAGATTCCACACCGAATGAAGAAGGTCTCATGCTTGGTCAGAGCTTCATTCAGTAGGAGAAGATTGCCTTCACTAGAAGGATGGAAGAAATGAACACATGAGAAGGTCTCATCAAGAAAAGGAAGTGTATGACTTGGTAGGAATATCCTTCCTCTGCCTTCCTCAATCATTCCAAATAAAATTCTTTATAGTTAAAGCTTTTTGAACTACTAAACAATGTAATAAAATAATTGCATACCTCACAGCCTTTGTTACTTCAGCAAACTGCATAAGGTCGTACTTTTTTAAGAGCTGAACAGTTGGCATATGGCCCTGAAAAATAAAAGGTTTCCAAGTTTTCCAGGATAAAGTCAAGCTCATTTAAAACATAATCTATAAAAGCATTTTTCAGAGAAACAGACAAGTGTTTGACTCCCTTCTTTTCTGGTTTGCTACAGAACAAATGTTAAATGAAAGTATTTGTAAGACATCCTCTTGCCCTGTTAAACTTCCTGCAACTCAACTCACAATAATTACTTATCATGGTTTAGGCAGTCTCTTGATATTTCTGAGTGTTAGGAAACATCAAGATCATGTGACATGAGGCTTAGGGCAAGTCCAAATTTTGTGTTGCGGTTTTATGATCTATTTGTGAGCAGAAGAACTGTGGGAATCCCAGGCATTACTAACAACACAAGCAGTGCTTCAACACTGTCACGTGTTAGCTCAGTCTCCCAGATTATTTCTTCACTGTGCCTCTGTATGACCATTAAAATGTCAAGAGAAAGAGAAGAAAGTTGAACGAAACGGACTTAATTCTCATCGTTCGATCAGGTAAGACAAAATTAGGCACAGTACCAAACAGAAACTTTCGTTTCTTCCCTTTGCAGGGCAGAGATCAGATTGCATACCAACTTGGTCAGAATTTAAATTTAGTTACCATTACATGGTGCCGTTGCTAATTCCTTTCCTGGCTGGAGGATTAGTCAAGAGCAGAACTCAGCTACATGTTTACTAAAAGCTGCTAGGAATGAAAAGAAAAAAAGCCACCAAACCCCCAAAAAAACAAATACCCAAGCTATTTTTGTAGTTCTAAGGTCAGTGTTAACGTTTGGATTGTGATTTAAAAAAGCAACTGTAAAAACAATGACCTTTATATAGATTCTTTAGAGCCTCTTGAACTGTTCAGAAAAGCTACCATAATCTCATGCACTAAAGGGTCCACAAGTTTAAGGAAGGCTTAAGGTCTGTTAGTTTCCTTTAATCAACTCTACCACTGTCTGATCTGAAAATAACCACTAAGAAAGACAATGAACAAAATTGAAAAACAGAAGCAAGTTATCATACCCACCATGTTCCCCCCTTACATGTGCTTTCTGTCTTTTTTGCTTTTTGATACCGCAAGGGATTGAAAAGGGAGCACAGGGAGTAAGTGAGAATGGTCAGGATTCATTTTGCTGGGGTAAACGTGGAAGATGGGAACTCTCAGAACTGGATGATAAAAACATTCTCTGTGAGAAAATTGGTAAAAGGGAGTGGCAAACACTCTAAAATCTAGTCCTTGGCCCCTCAGTTACACTGAATTAATAGCTTGTACAACCCCACTCAAGGAAGACAAATGCCAGCACAGAACACAGAAAGGACAGGAACAAGAAGCAGACATAATTCCTTCAGCAACAAGATGAAGAGAACAAATGGAAACCAGCTGACATGCCTTAAACTGATAAATAATGCGCAAGGAGCGATTATAAAAACAAAGACCACTTTCCTGTGGTAAACCCACCATAGCAGTCTCCAACCATTTATTTGCACATGCTCCTTCCCTTTGCCAGGTGAAAGCAGCTCAGATTTGTACCAGTGAATCCAGACATACCCTGGATGCCAGTGCACAGTTGTCATCATGAAGGCACTCTGGTACATGCCAAGTTAACTTTGAGCTCTCTAGAGAAGCACTTATTTTTCTTATAGCAGTAACCTCAAGTTCCACCTTTCAGAGGGGCAGAATAAGGCTGGGGGGACAAAAAGCAGCTTTACTTCCTTCTTTC